ATCTCGAGTTGCTCGTAGATACCAGAAAAAAGGCCTCGAGTGCAAAGTGTTAATATTCCTCAAATAGTACGAGTCAAGCCAAGGATAAGAACATAACGAAAATAGAACAATAATAACTATGATCGAACTCGATGGGCTGTTTGGCAACGACTCGCCTATGCCAATACGTGTTTCGAAACCGTCAGCAGTCGCGGGGCCGATTACAAAGCGGAGAAGTTAAATGGTTCTCGATTCTTCGTTCCAAAACGATGAAAATTGACTGTCGGGGCCAAGTATGAAAGTGTTGTCCGTTCGAATCTTAATTTACCTGTCTGTTCGGGTTTCAATCAATTCAACGTGAGAGTTCCTGGCACGCATTTGCGCTCCCTTACACACGCAAGGCACGCGCCCGTCTACCAAAGGGTTCGCTTGTCTAGTCAGGGATACTTCGGGGAACTCTTTCGTGACAGCTCGTTAATTCGCAAATTGCGTCAGCGTTCGATGGCGCGCGATAATTGGAAACGTCAAACTAATCGAACCATACGCATTCAATAGAAATCTTATCGGAAATGAATCCCCTTAGAGATTCTTCGGGAGGACTTGAAGGAAACCAATCATTTCGAGTAGATTCTTTTATGCTGAATACGAATCCGCAATTTCGTAAAAAATAGGGTTGGTGGCGAATGGGTCGAGAATAATCGTTATCCAACGTATCGGTAGAAAAGATATTTTATAGTTCCTTTAGTGGTTACCGAATTTTTATTTTTCTAACAAACAACATTCAGAAGGAGAATTATTTATTGTGTATTGAGAATTATTTTAGTTATATTATTGATGTACTTCATCTCGTAAAGTTAATACTAAAAGACATTTAAATAAATACATTACACGAGTTGTATCAATTAAATATATTCCATACCATTCGTATTTTATTCATGAACAGAATCGAAATGCCCCGTCCTTAAAAAAACCATTATTTCTCTCTTTTTATTCGAGCACGCCGACTATTTTGGATTCCTCAACGTCATGAACATTTCAATCTCGACGAAGCATCGCCAGGAACAAAAATCACCGAATTCCTTCGATATTACAGGTCGCTTAGATTGACAAAATTGACCACTGGTTGGCCAATCAATCGAATCGAGTATGGGATTTTTCGACGGTAAGATTGCAGTGCGACGCGTATTCCAATTATTCCAGGTATTTCATTACACGATGTTACGATAAATCACTGCAAAATTCACGGGAGGACGTGATCGCCTTGTCAAATATCTGACGAGCGCACATGTACACGACCGGTTCGATCATCGGTCAATTTCGCGAACGCTCATTCATCGATGGAATTCGATTGGCCGCATTCGCGTGTACGAAATTTTAATTAACGAACTGCCGTCGCCCTGCGCAAAAACGCCCGAATAAAGTTACGCTTCGTGAAAGGCTATTAGTCGCGCAAAACGTTCCCCGCGGAACGTTTCGCAAAAAGCTACGGACGTGGTGTCTGGCTGCGCCCGCCTGCGCCCTTATCCCGTCCCTCGTCAACACCCCTGGCCCGCGCCCTCATCGAGAAATTAACATACAGTAATTATCCGGTCGAATCATATTCCGCCGTGCGATAGAGGCTGACAGCGTATGCAACGTAAAATCAACCTTTTATCGGGGTCGCCTATTTAACACGGTTTAAACGAAGTTTAGCGTTACA